ATATTCTATTTTCATTTATTATTTTTATAGATTTCTTTATATTTTTTATTACTTTTTGTACACTGTGCACTGCAATTTGTTAATGGCAATTAACACAAACGTTGCTGCTAAATGTTGAATGTTGCTAAGCGTGCGTTTTTTCTCTCTCAAAGTTGCGCTCTCTCGCAACACGCCGCGTATGCCTGCCTTCCAGCAATGTTGCTAACGAAACGAGCCAGCAGCAAACTGCAGCAGCATGTTGCTAGCCGCCTGGCCGTTATTATTCAACGTTCAGCAATGCCGCCGCCGCCGCAGCCAAGCGAGCGAGAGAGAGAGAAATGAGCGGGCCAGTCGCCGCGCGATTTCAATTCATTCTCATTTCGTTTGTCGTGGCGAGTGGACGTTGTCTGCTCTCTCTTTAACTGTCGCCGTTGCCGTTACCGTTGCCGCCGTCGTGTGCGTGTTCTTCGTAATTTTAGTTAACTGTGGTAACACGTTCCGCGACGTTCTTAACGTTTATCGCATCGGTCACTCTCCCAACACACATATATATCTAAATATGTGCATCTGTGTGCGTGTGTTTGTGCCAGTTAGACAATGAATTATTGGTAATACTCATTTCTGTTTCTGTTTCTGTTGTTTTTCCGTTATTTTTTGTCTGCGTTTTTCATCTTTTTTTTCAACAAAAATAACTTTGTAACATTTTTAAGTTGTTTTTTTGCCGGAAGAATTTAAAAATAAACAAGAAACTGGGCAAAAATGTGCTTGAAAAGAATTGTTTTTTTTTTTTTTTTTTTTTTTTTTATCACGTGCTTTAAATTGTTAATAAAATAGTTGTTTTTTTAGCAAAGCAAATTATATTTTTTTTTTTACGAAAACAAACAACGTAAAGAAAATGAAAACAGGTTTTTTCCCAATTGAACGACTGACGCCCTGTTTTTGTTGTTTTTACAGCCACAGTGAGCGTTGAAAAACTGTGGCCAAACGCGTGAAAACTTTAAGTTGAAACAAGAGTTGAAATAGAAAAAGAAACAAAAGAAAATAGTGTTGTTTTTTTTTTTTCAAATAGAAACTTGCCAAGTTAATAGCTGCTAGCATTTCAAGGCCATTTTAATATTGATTGAATGTAAAATATAGCGAAATTGCCTGGGACTGGCGCCATCTGCCGCTCGAACCTGTTGCAGTTCAAGGACATTTGCATAGAGACATGCAATTTAGCTAAGCTTTAAGTGCATCTGCTCTCCCGCTCGCACACACACAGTGTGTGCATGTGCGTGTGTGCGAGCTTTGTTGCTGTTGCTGTTGTGTGTGTGTGTGTGTGTGTGTGTGTTTGAGTGAGTCAGTTGAAGTGCTTATCGTGCGGCCGTTACGAAATGCCTAAACAACAAAAATTGCAACAACAAAGTCAAACAAAACTGAACGCGCGCTTTTGACGCGCTCTCTCACGCTCTCACTCTCGCTCGTTCTCTCTCTCTCTCTCTCTCTCTGTTTCACGTTCACTGATGTTCACAAAGAGAGCGTCCACCCACACACACCACACATACATATGAAGAGCGGCTACCTGCATGATAAAAATTATTGGAAAAATCAAGCAGCAGATAAACTATAAAAAATTCTTTGTTTTTTTTTTCCTTTTGCTATTTAAGTATGCGTTATGCATCGCCCTTCACTGCTGCTCCTGCTGCTGCTGTTGCGACGTGTTTCGACTGCAGACAGCGCCGCAATTTCCGTTACAAAAAACTGGCCGGCCAAGCAGCGACGCTTTACACACATGTGTGCGTTGCCGTCGCCGTCGCCGTCGCCGTCGCTGTCGCTGTCGCCAGCAGGTTTACTGCGGCCAACTTTAGAACGCGAAGGCAAAGAGGAAAAAGACAAAGTCAAAGCGCAAATGTTACACACACACACGCACGCTCACGCACACACACATATGCTTATATGCGCTCACTCATAATCGCCTCGCACTTGCGACTCATTCAGAGACAAGTTTTTCGCCGTTGCTGCTGCCGGTTCCAGTCGCCGCTGTTGCTACAAAAATCGCTCGTGTGTGACGCAGCAGCGACGGCAGCGGCAACGGCAACAGCAACTGCGATGCGTTTTTCAACGTTCTTTGTTGTTGAGTCAGTGGCTTGGCCAAAAAGTAAAGGCCAACATTTGGCATTTTAACGAACTGCGGCTTAGCGCTAAATCCAATTGTCAGCCACTCAGACATTTCGCTGCTTTTCGCACTCGCTGCTAACTAAAGTTCAAACGGCAAACTCAATTGCCTCTTCCTCGCCCTGCCCCGCTCATGCTGTCTGTCTGCCACTTGCGAAAGTTGCTAAACTCATTCGTTAGTTTGTCACTCGTTACTCGTTAGAGTTTTGCCCGAGTTTGACTTTGAACTTTGGCAAAAGTTAAGTGAGTTTGGGCTCCATAAAGTGCTGACTAAAAGTCTCTCTCGTTTGCTAGTTTCACTTACTCGTTACTCGTTGGAGTTGCCTGAGCTTTTATGAGTCACTTAGTGCCTAGCCTGCTTAACAGTTAATTATTCGTTGCTCGTTATTCATAAAAGATTTGGATGAGCTTGAGTTTGATAGTGAATCGACCTGTCACTCGTCCGTTCGTTTACTCGTTGCTCGCTGATCGTTACTAGGCTCACTCGCTACTCATTACTCGCCTGAGTTTTTGTTTCTTCAGTTGACTTAGCCAATTACTAATCATAAGCCATACATTTCTGCTTCATTTCAGATATCACACACAAACGCATTATTAACTTCAGATACAATCTGCGAGTAGCGCTCGCTCTCGCTCTCGCTAATTGCCGATCGCAAACGAGTGTCAGTGACCAAAAAGTGCGCAAATTATAAATACAAGAATTCAATTCAAATCACATTAAAGCAACTGCAAATTTTTTATACATTTTTTTTACTGTGTGCAACAACGCAACAAAGAGAATAAAACAAAGAAAAGAAGAAGAAGAAACTGCAATAAGAAATTAGTGAAAACCAACAACAAGTAAAAGAAGCAACGACAAAATGGGCCAACTGCAAAGGCAGCGAGTGGCTCGACTCGCCACACTACTCTACGTAATGCTCTGCAGCTGTTTGACTATAGGTGAGTGCTATAATTTTATAATTAGACACGAGCGAACGCTGCAAAATGAAGTTGTAAAGCGTAAATTGCATTTTCAATCAAGAAACTAAAAAAAAGCCATATAACGTTTAGACGAATGGCCTCTTTACGAAATTGAAGAAGAATGGGAGAAAGAAAGAAATCTATCGAAACTAATCATAAAAATGTTTTCCTGCATCCATGAAAAAGTGAACTAGAGCAGGGTAGATTGGATTCGTGGAAATGTGACTGAAAGTAGGAATATGCATATGCATTTTTAGAAAATCGACCATTATGATCTATTGCAATTTCTATGAATTCGTCAAGTATTCATAAGCTCTGAACTTGAATTTATCAAACAAAATATTCCTATATAGTGATTTGAAATTAAGATTATTATATGGCAATAGACCTACACAATGCATCCAAGTTAATGTAACAATCATCACTGCAGGGTATTTCCTACCCATGCACCTCAGCTAGCCACCTTACCTGATTTCTTATTCTTTTCACAAATTTCCACTTTAATATGTCGCTTATAATACATATATATGGCTCGCTCTGGGACTACTCAAACGCTAAGCAAATACGACCCAAAAGAAAAAACACATTTCGTAGAAACACAAACGAGATCTCTAGGACTAGGCCTAGGCCTAGGCCTGAAACTCTTATCGCTCGACGTCAATATTTATTTAGCGAGTCGCCCTTATCACACACACACACATACACACATATGCTCAGGCACAGACGTAATCGAGATGAGCTCTAATGCAAATATAATAAAAGAATCGGGGCCGCTGGATCTGCTTGTATTACAATTGTCGCAATTGTCGTTCCAAAGGCTTGTTTTTGGCTAAATGAAATTGAATTTATAGCCAATCCGACTTCTGGGCCGTCATAAACGTTTCGTGCGCAAATATTTGCCCAGCGAATGTCACAGAGATGATATTACGAAAACTATATTCTCGCTATCTTATGGAATAAACCAGAATTTGTATAATATGTGAAAGACATAAAAATACCTCCCAAGTACAGGTGTTGCCTAGGCAGTGTGCGACCTTCAATTGTGATTGTAAATGTAGATATAATATCGTATATACCATAGAGGATATGTATGTAATATATCGTATCATATACTTGTAGCATACATCATATGTCTCGTATCATACAGTGTATATACATATGTAGAGTAACATACATAATTATATATCGTATATTAAATTTCTTATGTCGTATAAGATTTATATTTGCTATACATTTATATACCTTATATCGAAAAAACCCGATGGTATATTGACAATCGAATGAAGTTTACATCGTATATCGCATAGTGTACGACATAGATCCGACTGTTGAATATCATATTTTCTATAGTATACATATAATGTAATATATATTATATCTTAGTATATTTTTTTTGTGTTTTTTTATTACTTTTTGTATTTCTTATTAATAATTTATCAGAGACATCTTATAGACAATTTGAGCGTTGCACTTGACACATTGATAAAATAAAGAGATGAAACGGAATTTTCCAAGATTGTTTTTTGGTTCTCTTTTAGTTTTAGTCTGCATACGAGGGTGAGTTTTAGGTACAGACCAGTTGGCTAATACAAAGGGAGCGGTCCCTTTCCAAATTTGATAGCTAAAATATTTGACAAACTGTATATATTACACAAACCGTTGCCGAACGATTTGCATCCGGTTGTGCTGACAGATCGGTTGAAGCTGTGGTCCAATCGAGTCCTGAAATACAGCAAATAGATAATGATTGGGTGAATGAGAGTATACTTTAGTTCAACAATAATCGAGAGAAGATGGAGGGTTTAGGCGTATGCAATGGACTTACTCTCTTTTTGGGCCTAACTCTCCCATCTAACTTTTGGGGAAAGAGTTAGGAACTCATAGATGTGGGAGATCTTGGGGAGCAGGAACTAAGCCACTCTCTCAGATTGTACGAGTAAAGAAGGCTTAGAGCGTGTCTAATCCTAGTGTAGGTTCTATGTATATAGTAGAAACTCACCCAAATTTTCTCTGTAGGCAGGCACTGTTAGTCTAGCCGAGTATGAGTCCCACGCCGAAGCGAAAGCGACTGCTGAGATGGTTCATCTTGCCGCTAAGTTGCAACATAATGGGCAACGGCTCGAGTCGCTTCTCGCAGACGGCGCTGATGACGCCGCGTGTATCGATGCCGCCCCGAAAGCTGAAGCCGGCGTCTGGCATGTGACAATGGTAGCAAAGCCTCGAGATGGCCTGACGCTTCAGGATGTTCGCCTGCAGCTGAACGCTGGCGCCTAGACTCTGGCCATAGAACTGTGTGTAGCAGAGCTCCAGGGCGTGCATGCTAAGCATGGCGGACCACTGTCGATTGTCCTGCTGGTAGCGCCCCACAGCCGAGACCAGCGCCGCCTGGCCGCCCGGCACAATGTCCTCGCGCTGGTAGATGATGTCGACGCCCAGTGCCAGTTGGGCCGTTACCTGCTGTAGATACGAGGCGACAAAGACGCCCATGCGCTGCATCACATCGATGTTGCTCAGCACGCAGGTGCAGCTGTAGTCTTCGCCGAAGTAGTCAAGGAACAGGCGCGAGTTGTGCATCATCGAGTCCAGGACGGTCGCCGATAGCTTGGCCCGCCAGCGCGGCGCTATGAAGTGCATCAGGTTGGCGGTGACATTGCCGCGGGCGTCTACCTCGCTGATTAGCATCGGGTAGGGCTCGCCGGTCAGATCGTTCTGCTGATCGCCCTGGTAGCTGCAATTGAACTGGCAGTCAATCGACTGCGGTTTGTTGCCCGCGTGCAGCGTGTGGCCCACGGTGAGGTAGTTGCCCAGCGTACGGTTGACGCTCAACCGGAATCCGTCGAATGTCTGCGGCATCATGTCGTGGCAGCGACGATGGAGCTCGGCCACAGTGCCCGGATTGCCGAGCCGTTCTACAAAGGACAGGCCGCCTAGCCAAGATACGGGTGTGGGCGTGGTGCTAATGGGCCGACTCTCCGCCACGGATATCGATTTGCCATACTCATCCAGATTCTCGTGCTGCTCCTGCTCCAGCCGTATCTCGTGTCGTCGCTCCCCGGTTAGGTCATAGCCATCGCCCTCGTTAGCCATGCGTATGCCAAAGAGCCGATAGAATTTCTCCTTGTCCATTTTCATTTGCAGCTGCTCCACCAGCTCTGGCTGTGTTGTGTATATATTGCCCATTGCTAGTTGTTGTTGTTGTTGTTGTTGTTCTTCTAGTTCTTGCTCTGCCAAAGATCTGCGGATTTTGGTATTGTATTTAGACATCAGAATCGGTAAACTCCCAGGCCCCCTCCCCCCTGGTCGGTTGACCACTAACTAAAAGAAAACTGCGACCAATTACCACATCCGCTTCATTTGTCCAACCACTTTTTTTCGCTTTACTCTACTCCACTCTACTGTACTCTACTCTGCTCTACTCTACTCTCTTTCTCTTTCTCTTTCTCTTTCTCTTTCTCTTTCTCTTTCTCTTTCTCTTACTTTCGTATCGTCATCAGCTTCAGTGTACTCTGCGGCTTTTTGTCTAACCTTTCTCTAAGCGGTCAGGGAGTTCGCTGTAAAGGGGCCCATACCGGTATTTGCTGCCGGAACTGACTAGACACAGTTCTAATTCTAATGACAACAACAACAATAGCAACAGCAACATCAATAGCAGAGAAAAGATATATAAGATGAGCTTAACGAATTTGACATGTACTTGCAGGTGGCTTTACTTGCGGGTATCTATCAGGTTAATTTGTAATGAACGCAAGAAGGGGGAGAGAACCATAGAATGACAGAAAGGTTGAAGAAAACTAGAGAGAGTAATTGAAGTAATTAGACTTTAAGCATTACAAAGTTGGAAGTGTAAAGAATGGGAATGTAATAATATAGAAAACGTGATATACTACGAAATACTATACATACATATATATATACAATACTATACATACATATACTAGAATATGACGACAAATAAAACATAGCATGGTTTATACAATCTACTCCTATTCTAATATGCTATTGTACATTTTATTACTTTTTATATTACTACTACTATTTGATATACTAAGCAATATTCTTGTATGAAATACGGATATACTACTTAACGAAATACTACTAAATTATGTACTACTAGAAGAAAGACTACATTACTACTAGTACTATATTGCATACTATTAAGTGAACTACTACCATATATGCTACTGCCAACTGAACTACTACTATACAATATACTATATACTACTCTATAAGTAGCATATCTCATATACTGCTATATGTCGTGTTACACATAGTTGTTATTTTATTGTATACTACTATTATGATATACTCCTATTTAGTATGCTGTCAACACACTCCTTTCCTTAACAAACTTAACAGATGTTATATATTCTCTATCTATAGCATTTAGTTGCTTCACTTGCTCTATCTACAGAGACTAGAGAGACTGTAGGGACTATCTACAGCCAACTCCAGCTCAAGACCCATCTGCTCTAGGGTCAATGCGTTACACATGTCATGCGAAGCTCGCGATGCCCCCTGCAAAGAGTATACAAAAACCAAAAAAATACAAAGAAAATTATAATGAAATTAATTAACGCAACTTTTTTTGTGAACGAACATGTCCAACATTTTCATTTTCTTTCCTTATTTTTTGTGCTGCTCTTTAACTGTTGCTGTGGGCAAGTTCTGCGCTTGTATTTCAGCTTTTTTTCTGAATTTTTAAAGCGACATGAAAAGAAGTCGTCACCGTGCCGCATGCCGCTTGCCTCATGCCACTGGCCGCTGGCCGCATGTGCCTCAATTGATGTTGCAAGCGCATTAACCTACGCTCGTTGCATTAAACGGTTCTTGTTTCATATTTATTTTATGGCTGCCCGCCAAGAAGAGCCCGGCCGGATGACAAAACACAAAGTCTTGGAACTTCCCGAACACGCGTTCCAATTAGCCCAGAACCCAAGAACTTGGGAACTAACCCATTTAATTGCCCGCCCAGCTTTCACTGAAGCCTGAGAAAAGTAAAAGAACTGAAAGACAGCTGTGAGCGGCAAGCGACGAACAGCGAAATCAGAAAAAGTGACTTAAGCAGAGAAATTAGCAAACAATGCGAAAGAACAAAATACCCTGTAAAGGTGTATCTCATGGAACTGGCATAAAGGCAGACTGAGATGGATTAATCTATTAAATTAAAACTCCAACTGAAAGCAGTCAACAACTGATTTGATATCTTGATTAAACAGTACAAAAGTATAGATTTAAATTATCGATAAGTTATCGGAATAATAAAAAGTAAAATAAAGGCACTTTAAACAAAATTTGGAAGCAAGAAAATGTGAGTGGAGGAAGCAAACTAGAAAGCAGATGCAGTTCAGGAATATATTTACATATAGATGTATATTTCTGAGTATATGCCTAAAAACAAGTAAATTATGACAGAGATGACGCAGAGGGCGACATTCACGCTAACCCTTGAACTTAACGAAGCATAATGTACATAGACAAAAAAGGAAAAAAAAGAAAAAGAAAACGAAGAAGCAGCTGAGCTTGATGCAGTAGAACGAGAAGACGAAGAAGTGCACTGTCGGCTCTGTAAGTTGCTTTCTCTCTCAATCTATCAAAATTCACAATTTGAATTTCTTGGGAAGCTCTTGACGACGACTTTGCAGTCTTGATGAACTCCTGTAGTCGTTACTGTTGTTGTTGTTGTTGTTGGTCAGCAGCAACAGCAGCGGCAACAGCTCTTGAGCCTGGTCTTTTGTGGCACTTGAGCGTACCGAGAGTGAGGCAGGAAAAAGGAAATTCCAATTATGTTGCAAGTCTGGCCGTGCGTAGAAAAAGAATTGTTGCCACGTCTTTTATGTGCAGCGCCCCTCTGCCCTGCTCCAACTAACACGCCCCTCTCTAGCCCCTTTCCCTGCATCAGCTGCTGTTTGTGTCGCCTGCAGCAGTTTCTATGCCGCCATTTGCTGTCGCTTTCTGCTAACTCTCTCCTTCCCCCTCTCTCTCTCTCTCTCTTTCTGCCTGTCTCTTTCACTCCTGCTTGTTTTAATTTTAATCCAGTAAGGGGCATTTTTACACAGCCCCGCCTCCCAGTGAGTCGCCCACTTTTGCTAGAATCGTCTTTTGTTAATGTTTTTTTATTTTCTTGCTCTCATAGCCCGCTTTTGTTGTCGTTTTGGTTTTAAGCCGCGCATTTGCTTTTATGAAACTCAACAAGAAATTTAGATACAACAATAACAGCATTAACAGGAAAGTGGCTTAAAGTATTATTAGTTAAATGAACTAGAAAAACGAACAGCTAATGCAGGTTGATTGTCGAACTTTTTCTATGATTTCCTCAACTAGAAATCAATAGAGTATTATTGTCCATATAGGCTTTGCTCAATTCGAGATCGAGATCAAAATGCAGATCCTAACATACAAATAAATAGATGTAGTATTCATTCATTCAATCAATCAATAACTTAAAAACAACTTATGACAAATTTTATGCAAAAGCGTTTAAGAGTCAAAGTAGATTACTTAAAGTGAATTTTTCACATAATATGTTAAGTTTTATGGCGAACTTCCTTTAAGATTTTTTATTCTTTTTATTTTTTACAACTTTTGGCCCGAATGCAGCTCAAATTTCCATCCCCTATGCAAAAGAGTTTGAAGTAAACTTTCCACAAAATATGTCAAGGCACATATCAAAGTTCCTTAAAGATTCTCTCTTCTCGTAGTGGAGCTCTCTCTTTATAATAATTTGGTAAAAATAAAATGCTCCATTGTTGTCAAGCTATAAAATATATATATAGCTGTCTTTCTTTGTCTACTTTATTCGCTTAAACACCGTCATTTAGCTAATAAAACTAATCAAAAGCTTAACACTTCAAATGAGTCTAATTAACATGAAAACACCGCTAAAAGCCCTAAACTCTTGCCAAAATAAAAGCTAGATCTGAGTGAACTTCATAAAGTCTTGGCGTTATTTTCACTTGGAATTCATTCGAGGCAGCGCAGCGATTACATCCTACGAGAATCACGTCATAAAACCCGAAAGTGGATATTAAGGGCTTCAGTCAAACGCGGCGCTTAAAGAGTTTTAGTTGGACTTACACGCTGGGAGCTCATGATTAACTTAGATGTGATTCTCACAACCTAATCATGATTATAATGAGCTGCATAATGTGCGCAATCTGCAATGCATATAACTAGCTGGCTGGGATGGGAAGTCTTCTAGTCTATGAGTATTATATTAGCATAACTTTGGCTTTTTACCCCACTCTCGCGTCGCTCGACGCTCGACTTGACTTGGGGGCTTCCTTCTGCTGCCTTCGCTACGTTATTTTTCGACAGACAATTAGTTGAAGTTGATCCAAAAACTTGCGCATAATTAGCAACCATTGTTGTCCCGCAGCCCCCGCTCCCCACTCCCCACACCCCACACCCCGTTCGCCTCACTCTGCCAGCTGCCAAGCCATAAATTAACTGCAAATGAGCAAAAGGCCAAACCGCGCCCAGCCCAAACTCCAGCTCCTCTCTCTTTCTTTCTCAGCCAAACTCTCGCTCTCTTTGTGTAAAGCGCCCAAAAAAAAAAAAAATTAAAAGAAAAGAAATCTGGAACACCCCATTGACTTGCTTTGAATGGGTGTGTGGGAGGACTTTGGATAATTACAACTAAGTAGTTGCATGGACTCTATAAGTATATGGATAAACAATGAACCATGCCCAACGCCGGGGCGAAACAATTCAGCCTTGCCCTGTTGCTTCCGTTTAATAAGAAAGAGTTACACAGCTCGTTTGTTCGCTTTAACTGTTTTCAAGCTCAAGTGCAACGAGAATTATGTACACATATCCCACCCGATGCCGCTGTCGATGCCGTTGCCGTTGCCGATGCCATGTGGCATAATTACAAGTGCATCGGAATCTGTATCAAAATGATGGGAAACTCGACGCGCGGCGAGGCGAAATGAAAAATGCAGCAACAAAAGAAGTGAATTAAGTGAAAAACAAAAAAAAAAGAAAACACAAGTAAAAGTGCTCACATCGGGTAGACACGACTAGGAAATACCCTGAGGGGGAGTGACAAAGAGAGGGATCTATAGAGAGAGTACCTTCGATCTAAATGCGCGCCTTTAAGACATGCCAAATGGAAAATCAAATAACTGTAGCTTCATTATTTGAACTCGATTGACAATTCAAATTGATCGAGCGGACTAAAGGTCGGTGGATGGATAGATGATGAACTAAAGGTGGCTCAGACAAACAGACAAATATACAGTTAGAATTGGATCAACTCATCTATTAATACTAATGAGAGGGACAATATCTATCCATCTTCCTTTATAAGCAATCGCATTAACCGCATCCAAACTCTTGCCGAAACAGCATACTCTGCTCAAGCAATGCACACGACGAAGCTGTGTGCTGAGCATAATTATGCCAATGTTTGTGTCAGTTTCAAGTGTCTTCGCTGCAGCGACAGACGCAAAAGCCCAAACTCTGGCTTCGCAGCGAGCTTCTTGGGATGCCATTAAGCAACTTTTTCTCAGTTGCAATGCGGCTGGGCGAAAGGGGCGGGCAGGGGCGCCGGAGCAGCGGGGCAGCGGCGGGCTTGGATTGCAGCGTGGTAAATGAATGCCCGCATAATGCCAGAGGAATTATAAAAAATATAAAAAAACAACAACAACAAGCAAACACACAAACAATAAGTAGCTAAACCCAAAAACCAGCTCAACAACAACAACAAAAATTACTGTGCACTGAAAATACAAATGAAGGATTGTTTGGCTCCGGCATTGTGGCCCCCACAGCTCGACTGGCTGCCCGTCTGTCCGTTTGTCCGTCTGTGTTGCTTCTCTTTTCATTTTTCTTCTTTTAAGTATGATGAATGAATTTTAAATAATAAAAAACAAAGAGAAGAGGCATTCGCCTGGTAAAAATAATTATCATAAATGATATAGCACACATGCATAAATGATCTTAAGTCGACTGCATAGCACATAGCACATCGTAAAAGTCATGCGCAATATGTTATACGAGATATTATAAACCGTACTAAATGGATGATATCTCATATATCCATTATCACTCGCCAGTACTCGTTTTTGCCTTGTCATCAACTAGCTATAGCCTTATCACATGGAAACTTTATTCCAGTCAGATTTCCACAGACTCAGCTAATCTTAAGGTTGAACCAATAGCAGAAGCTGAAACAGATGTTGCAAAACTGTTTGGATCTTTCTTATCATAGCAGTGTAATGCTACCTATAAGATTGGAGATAGAAGATAGAAGGTTGAAGATGTATATATATGATATAAACATTAATAAATGACACAATAGCAGACAGATCCCCCACTATAAACCAATTAAGTCTATGCCTATAGCTTTGCCCAATAACTCTTCTTGATCCCATAAGACCTCCGTAGAGCCATTGCATATGAAGGGCATACTTACCCAAAAAAATCTGTTTTAAAATTGACCAAAAATCGTAATATCACAAAATGATTTAAATTTGCATAGATTTTGGTGTTACGTGTGTTTTTTGTACATCTAGTTTTTAGGTCTCTGGTTCCATTGGTTAGCACAATTGAATTGGTCGAAAAAAGCGAAAAATATTCTTTTGTTTTAGACTTTGTTGTTTTTACAATTTCTAATCTGACAACTAAACAATACGTTTTGACTGTTAACACATAGAATGTTATAGAACTCTCTCCCTCTCTCTCTCTCAAGTCCTCTCTGTATACACTGTGAATCAGTTAAGGAATATCCATATGCGTCCATCATATTTTGTAGAGAGTTCGTCGATTATTTGATTGGTAGAAAGGTTGACTAGTCCAGGCTGATGTGAACAGGAAATGCTGCCAGACGTGCTGCATGCCTTACAAGTGCGCCCCTGGCATACTAAATTGAGTTATTTAGTCGGCATTGGCATGCGTAATGCATTAGCCAGTGCCTAAAACCTAAGAGCTGAGAAAAGGGCAGCTACCTGTGCGCCGTGTGTGGATTGAGCCAGCCTATCTATTGAACCATCTAAAGAGGGTCTAAAGCGCTCAGGTAACGACGACTGGCATACACAACTAATTGCTAATTGGATTATGTCTTACTTGCACACACACACACACACACACACAGAGCGAGAACGAGAAGGAGTGAAAGAGAGAGAGTTAGTGTGGGCAATGGCGTGTGCCAAAAGGTCAATGATACGAGCAACGCCTTTGGCCGTAATCCAGGTGTTTAGACTGGACTACACTGCAGCCCCATCGCCCATCGGCTGCATTTTTAATTGACTCCACAGCCTTATCCTCCCACACTCTCCCCCCTTAGCTATGTTGCAATTGCATAACAATGAAACGGGGTGCTACCTTGTTCGATTTCATTTTCAAGTTACCTTTTACCCATGCCCATTTCCCTGATTGCGACCTCAATTGTCGTGGTCGTTGACGTTCCGCATTTGTTGCCAATGGTCTTAGTTACCATTTCCATAGCATAGGTCCCCTGGTTCCGTAGCCTGTGGCCAGGGACTCTGCTTGTAATTGGTAATGCAAAGTGCATGGAGCACAGGTCAATTGTTGAGGCCCATAGCTGCTGGAGTCATGTCTCCTGCGTCCTTTCCCCTTACCGCCCACATTCTTTGTTGCTTTTTCCTCTTCCTTCCCATCTATATTTTTTTTTCGGAATTGTAGTCGTTTAATCAATTCGTTTCTATTTCCCATTTTTGAATTCCGTATGTTGTCTGGGCAATTGTTGAGTGACCAGCCAGAGCAGTGAGGCGGCCAGAGAGTCTATTGTTTTCATTGGGGTTTCCATTTGGAACGAATATGCCGAGTTCTCAAACAGTGTAACAGCCCAACAGTCTGGCAATCTTTCAATCTCTGTCTCCAATTGTTCACATTTCCCTTGCAGCTGTAGTCGGTTTTAATTGTATTCAACTTTGCATAACCTTAATCCTCTCGCAGTCTCTTCAGCCTGCTTTGTTTATCTATTTGTGTTCTCTATCCATTTAAATGGTTTTCAAAGAATGTCTATCAAAATAGCCAGTAGATGGGACTAGTCGTACATTGTGCTCGATTATTACAGGGTATTTTTACATTTTCCTTGTTGAGTAGAATATATATTTACCACAACATTTACAGGGTAACTTTAAGTCAACCATTATCTTATTCTCATGAATATTATTTGAACAGCTTCAAAGTAAATTCATAAAATATTCCTATTCAAAATTGTAAGTTTTCAATCCATTGCGCTATTCAGTACAGGGTATCTGTTGGTCGATCAGTCTATGCCTATTTGCTCTACGGCTTTCACTTGCTTCCACTTGCCTGGCATTTAGTATCTGGTAGTGTTCCCACTCATTACATTTCCCACACTCCAATTGCTTAGCTCCCACGCCCACCTCACGCCCCAAATGCTGCTGCTGCTTCTTCGTCCGATTCCTGTTTCGAGCTCTTCTTCTTCTACTCGTTTTTTGCTGCACTTTTCCCACCATTAAGCTGCAAACTATCAGCTGCAGCTCATCAACTCTGACAAGGGGCCAACCAACAACCAACAACCAACAAAATAAAACCAACGAAGAGGAAGAACAAAAATGCATCCACAGATTTACTTTGGTCTCCCCATTTACCTGGCTCGGCCCCTCCACCCCCTTTTGGCCAGGTCTTTTACGTTTTGCCAATTTTCAGCATTTAACCAAATAAACCGACTCGCTGSTTCATGCCTCATGCCTCATGCCTCCTGCCTCATGCCTTTGGATAGCCTGCTACAGCCGCAGCGCCCTTCTGCTGCCCCTGCTTAGATTCCCCGTTCCCTTCTACCTTAGCTCCATTGCATTTCCATCATATTCACATGCTCTTGGCAGCGTTGAGCTCTGGTGCCATTATCAAGCTCTCTGCCTACGCCTCTGCAGAGATGCACTGGCCCCCCTTACCACGCCTCTGAGCTCACTTAGGCTCAATTTTGTTGCATTGTCTCTTATTCATGCGTTGCTTCAGCTGCGTACTGGGATTTACCTTGACTGAAACCCACAGCTGGGCAGAGGCTGAACCCCTCTTAGGTTTTATCTACGCCTCTGCCTGCATGCGTTTTGCCTGCATGGCCAACTCATCAATGTCTGCGCTCATCGAAAAAAGATCATGTTCAACTTAGCACAGTGCTTAGCCCCCTCCCTCCCCCCCTCTCCCCTCCACAGCTACGCCCCTGCCTTACGCCTGTATATTTCGTTTAGCTTGAATTTTCATAATTTTATGCCAATTTATCGCAATACGCCAACGTTCTCCTCTCATCAAATCGAAATCCTGTTAAACGAGCGTCCCTGACCCCCTCGTAGTCCCTTTGCTGCGCCGCCCATGCTAAGAGCTCTTTGTTTGTTAGTCATGAACTTTTAAACATTTGTCATGCATAATTTGAGCAGCAAATGTATTGGAAAGAATTTTAAATTGATTGTTATTGTTGCTCGGACTTTTGGTAAAGTTCTTTTCCGTGGAGCTAAGGGCGGCGAGAACGTCGAGGGGGCGTGTCAGTCAGACATCAGCATTGTCAATAATTAGCTTAACCCATTAATAATCCGAGCAAGCAGACGCCTCTACACCAGCTGACTCAACCGACGCATTGGACTTGAGCTTTAGTTTGGGTCTTGATGAGGCTAGGGGTTTTTGCGGCTCAGTTGCTCTGTTGCTCGGATGCTGGCTGCAAGATTAATGATGCAGCTTACATATTACCTGCAGCTAAATGTGATGCATCTTCAAAATCCCTGCCCCGACACCGTCCGCCTGCCCCTCTCTGGGCTATATACAGACATGTGTCTGGCCAAAGTAAATGTTCGTTCACATTGAATAGCTGAGCTGTCAGACAGAGTCACACACACACACACACACACACACACACACATACAGAGAGAGGGAGATAGACAGAGCGAGACAGACAGACTATATGTTATGCTGCTTAACTTATGGTTTTATCTCTTGGTTTCAGCTTACGCAAGGTTTGAGTGCAGCTAAACTTTTTGATATACCTTCTTTTTTTTTTTGCGGGGGCTTCCTGGGAATCGAGTTGACAATTCGCCAGCTCAACAGTCCGAATCTCTCAGTTTCCTTTGTCGTTTATGTGATTTCTGGATTTTCACTTCTCTCTCCCTCGCTCTCCCTCTCTCTCTCTCACACACACTTTCTGTATTCTTTTTTTGGTTTTTAATAATTTCTGATGATTAAATTTGAGTGATTCAGTTGCCGTCTGTGAGCATCTTTACGAATTCCATTTATGGCTGGCTTACTCTGTCGGCTCAAAGGCGCCTTTGACTCGACAAATTTGGTGCTCAGCACAATTTGAAACAAAACCCAATTCACGGCGTCCAGTCAAAAGGACGAAAAGTCCTTGAGCCAAAAACAATGCCACGCCGAAACTTGCAAATTCAAGGAAGCCATAGAATTGAGTTTGGCTGCATTCTGTTGAGCTGCGTTTGAGTTGGAGCGCAAGTGCAGTTAGTCGGTTCATTTTTTATTTTTCGCGTTTTAATGGACTTTCCGCACAGCAATTAGAATTTTCTGTGAAAAAACAAAAAATGTTTTCTGGATTACTGCGCATGCAAAAAACGTCTAGTAGGCCAGCAGATGATGTGAGATGGAGATGAAGAGAAGCCTATTAAAAGTTAAATTGTTCTAGTCGTGAGCCGCCAGAGACTTTCTAGTCTAGTTTTGTGAAATGATATATGCTAAACTCAAACAGATCAGCTGAGATTATAAAGGTGAATCTTGCATAAGGAAAAGTCTTCTTTCTTTTTAAAGATTCACATCGAGGAGCTGAGCAGTTGAATTGAATTAAAAAACTTTTAGCTCATTCTAAAGTCGTAAAAAGGACATTGCAACATTTGATTTTTGTATTCATAACAGAAACTCAAACTCAACTGCAGTTAAACCGAGTCAAGGCCTGTCATAAGCCTGGCAATAAATGTCCTACAATTCGATCTACAAAGAGCGTTGGCAATTTGGCACAACAGCTAATAAAATGGTTGAGCAATGTTGTTGTGCTCAACAGCAATTAGAGGGTGTGCAGAGGGCGAGGGTCTTTCCATAAATTGGCAAAAGTGCGCAGAGTATGCAACACAAAGGGACAATGAACCCTAGCTGAGGGCTGACCACATCTCTCTCCCCTACCCACCCTCTCTCTCTCTCTCTCTCTCGCTCTCTCTCTCTGTGTGTGTGTTTGTGTCTCTGGTTGACATTTGATTTGTGACGCGTGCCGCTTTAACGGCCTACGGCTTTCCAATATCTAATATCGAGACAGAGCGTCGTCGGCTGGGGTAGCATCCGCGTCTGGCTCTGGCTCTGGCTCTGGGCATTAGCCGAAAGGCGCAGACGTAACCCCGTGCCTAGGCCAAGTAGTGCCACATGGCACTGCGAGCTATTTTTATTTTTATGATTGTTTTAATTTTGTTTGTTGCAAACAAATAGGCGGAAAATTTGATGACGTTGTCGCGTGTGCGTCTGTATATGTGTATGTGTGTGTGTGTGTGTGTGTGTGCTGGCTGGAAAATGCGTGTTGCAACATTTGCCTCGTTGGCCGACGACACGACGCAGCGCGTGTTGCGGCCTCATTAATTTTTTGATTTATTAATTATTCATTTTTGGATAAAACTATGCAGGAGCGTGTGCCTACCCCACCCCTCCACACGACCCATCTCCGTCGG